GAATTTACTAAGTAATTTACTTAGCAATTTACTAGGTAATGTTCTGAGTAATTTACTGAGAATTCAGTAAGTAATTTACTAAGCTTTTATCAAGTAATTTACCATGAAATTAAGAAAAGTTTACTTCAAATTTTCTAAATAATTTGTAGAGGATTTACAAGTAATTTACTGAGTAATTAATTGAGAATTTGTGCTAGAGGACTCTAAACTTTCGCAGCACAGCTTTTCTTGACAGTCCTTAGTGCTAGAGGACTCTAAACTTTCGCAGCACAGCTTTTCTTGACAGTCCTTAGTGCTAGAGGACTCTAAACTTTCGCAGCACAGCTTTTCTTGACAGTCCTTAGTGCTAGAGGACTCTAAACTTTCGCAGCACAGCTTTTCTTGACAGTCCTTAGTGCTAGAGGACTCTAAACTTTCGCAGCACAGCTTTTCTTGACAGTCCTTAGTGCTAGAGGACTTTAAACTTTCGCAGCACAGCTTGTCTTGAAACTCTTGTTTGATATGTCATCACCCCTTGAAATAAGTAGATGTTATTAACATCCAAGGAACTTGAAAGCCGGCAAATGAACTTGATTTCCCTCTTGATCGAAAAGTATGCTATGTATAGTTTTGAAAGAAAATCTTGGATATCAATCATGCAAACCTTTATTTCTAGTATCATTCACTGAGTATCCAAGCTCACCCTCTCTATATATATGTAGGTGATGAACAAGAAGGCATTGAGGCCTAGACGTGATTGCCGATGTGTTTTGGGCGCGTAGCCGACATGTTTTGGATTTGTGTTTTGCATCGTCTTGAAGATTATGCTTCTCGGCTTATGTTTTCTTTTGTTTGTTTTGACATATGTCGGCTTGAGAAGCCTTTTGGTCAGGATGTATTTTGTATCTCATTCTTGTTGTATCCAAATCGTAAGACTTGTAAAGATACGTGATGTATGACATTTCATTGGACTTATGCACTGCTCTCATGGACTATTTAGATTCTGTATGCATATGTATTGCTTCCGCACTTGTAAGCCCCCATATTTTATACTCTGATTTGTGTATGATTTTGTAAGTCGGCCTTCGGTAATCTCGGATTACTGGCCATCACGGCACCAAACTACTAGGGGCGGTTTGGGGGCGTGACAGGCCTGGTCTAGCGGTTGTAGACCGAGGTATCAGTAGGAATCGGACCGAGTTAAAGGATAGCTCGGCAGGGGGTCATTCCAAAGACTAGGTTGACTGAATTGATTTAATTAGTATCGAGCTGTGTAAGCACGGTTATGTCTTTTGCCAACTGAGGTAAGAGTTACGACTATCTCACTTAGATAAGGAGTTATCAGGATAGGCTTTATCCTTGGAAGTGTGATTCCTAGGAGGACTCTTATAAGGAGAGTTGGAGTCCTACTAGGATTGTGCCATGTGGAATCTATAAAAGCTCATAGCAGGACCTATGTACAGGTATCACAATTTTTACTCTCAAATACACAGAGTTTTTATGTCTATTGTCTATTTGCTGACTTAGGCATCGGAGAGGTTTCAGGCACACACCCCCCGGCTAGCTCGCATTTGTGTTTTTAGGTAACAAAGCGACGACGTTTGGAAGAGTGTAAACTTGATCAATAGGATTATACGAGAAGATTATTTCATTCTCGTACAGGAGTAATCAATCCTTGTGGTCAATCTTTATTTATTTGTTTCTAAGCCATCTTTCAGTGCAATCTTAATCCATCAGATCTAATCTTTTTTTTTTTTCATCTTTTGATATGTTTTATCTGATTTGACTTCTAGGTCGTCAAAACTAGAGTTTTTGAGATTATATTCATCTATTCCTATTTGGGTTTGTTTCAAATCGCTAGAAACCAATGTTTGGTTTGTGTTTGTAGAGTAGTTTTTGAGATAAAAAGTACAAAAACTTGTTTGGTTTGCCTTTTTTTAGAAATGGTCTTGGGAAATTGTTTTGGGGAGAGAGTTTTAAAAAAAGCGATTGATTTGATGTGTATGAGAGAGAGAGAGTGATTTTGGAAAGAAGCAAACCAAACAAAATTTTGAGATTTTTTTTGAAAAAATTTGTTTGGTTTGATTACTCTAGAAAATTTGTTTGTAGAGAATTTTTCCCAAAAATTTTTCCCAAAAACAAACCAAACAAGCCCTGAATCTTTTTGTGATTCTTGATTAATTCAATAGCTAGGTTTTGTCTCATATATGGTTACTGTCAATCTAGGGATGCTTCATTATGTATTGGACCATGTATATGGTGCTTTTGTTCATAGAACAAAGATAAGCCCACCATTTTTTTCAAGAGGATGGGGTGGAACAAAGCTTGATCTTTTAGAGAAATTGATCAAACAGCTATTCCCTGAGGTTAAAGGACCGAACTGGCCTCCTATTTTGGTTCGACCCATTTCGAGAACAGTTTGGGAAACTAAGACTGCTTGTTTGAGGGAAGGGGTTTTCAAGACTCCTTGTGATGAGCAGCTTTTAAGTGCATTGCCTCTTGAAAGTCACAATGCAAAAGTTGTTTTTCTTTCCCCTAAATTTGTGCAGCCGCAAAAGATGGCTTGTGTGGTTCATCTTGCAAGTAAAATTTGTAGCTTGTGATTGGATCTTGAAAGTTATGGAGGATTGTAGTTCAATTGATAGACATTCAACTTTGATGATGCCCTATTTATTTCTACATCTTTAATTGAGAATTTAAAGAGTCGTTTGTTTTGCTTGTATATAAATTTTTTTGTGCTTCAGAGAAGCCTAGTCGTGACTGATCAATTTTCACATACATAAGCTTCTATGTAGTTCCTTCAGCCAAGTTTTCAGATTTGTTAGATTGTTGTTCAGTTTGTAGAAATTTGATGTTTGAGGACTAATTTATGTGTGGATTTAGATAGGAAAATTGAAAGAGCTGTTTATTTATTTATTTATGCTTGTTTTGCTTAGTAATGGAGAATTTTTAGGGATAATTTTGTAAGTTTTCTGAATGAAACTGTAAATTCAATTGTATTTCAATACAATGTGTACATCTAGTATATATAGCAATTCTAGACCTAATCCTAAATAGGAAACAAGAATAAACGTAAACCAATCCTAAATACTGTTAACTCCAGTCCACATGGAGGAATTAATAAAGGTTGACTCCAAGTTAAGGAGTAGGAGGGGAGAAGGCAGGTGAAAGCTCAGCTTCATTTTTTTTCTTCTTTCTATTATAAATGTTCATCCATTTTTTGACTTTGTTTCCGTCTCTTTTGTGTATAAATTGAGGTGATGAGGAAGGGGTGAAATACAACAGACACAGAGTTTATAATCTGTGTAAGAGAGTGAATTCTATAGAAGGTTGTGACGTGTGAGCTGTAATCTTTCTCCGGGATAATTCTATAGTGAGAAATCTCTCTCTGCGGACACAGGCTATTGCCGAACTATGTAAATCTCTTGTGTCTCCTTTCTTTGTGTGTGTGATTGATTTCTGAGTGTGCCTAATCCTAACAAGTAGTATCAGAGCTTAGGTTGAGCAAGGAGGTAAAACAGAGGCTCGAATACTCTACTTTTCCAAAACTACCAGAAATCAAGTTGCTCAAAATTCACTTTTGAGCACACCAGGAGGAAGCCCTCTATGAGAGGAGTCCAGAACTACAAAGCAGAGCCCTAGACGACGCTCCACGCACTCTCATGTGCCCCATAAAGAAGGCGAGTGAATCCCAATCTCACACACGCGCCGTTACCTGCACTGGCACGTGGTTGAGATGAAAGAATTGAAAATACAGTTGCAAGATTTACTGGACACAGGATTTATCCGTCCGAGTGTATCTCCGTGGGGTGCACCAGTTTTGTTCGTAAAGAAGAAGGATGGAACACTCCGGCTTTGCATTGATTACAGACAGCTTAACAAGGTCACAATCAAGAATAAGTATCCATTGCCAAGAATCGATGACCTATTTGATCAGCTTCGAGGGGCACAGGTCTTTTCTAAGATTAATCTACGGTCTGGATACCACCAATTAAAAGTCAAGGCTGACGATGTTGAGAAGACAGCCTTTCGAACCTGGTACGGTCACTATGAATTTTTGGTTATGCCCTTTGGAGTTACTAACGCCCCAGCAGCTTTTATGGATTTGATGAACCGCGTCTTTAAGTCCTATTTGGATGAATTTGTGGTGGTCTTTATTGATGATATTCTCATTTATTCAAAAAATGCGGAAGCTCATGAGACCCATCTTCGCGTAATTCTTCAAACTCTCCGGGAAAAGAAATTGTACGCAAAGCTAAAGAAATGTGAATTTTGGCTACTCGAGGTGGCATTTCTGGGGCATATTATCACAAAGGAAGGAGTTTCTGTTGATCCACACAAAATTGAGGCGATTGTGAAATGGCCGACTCCTACCAATGTGACCGAAGTGCGTAGCTTTATGGGGTTAGCTGGTTATTACAGGAGATTCGTTCAAGATTTTTCTAAAATTGCTGGGCCACTTACACAATTGACTCGAAAGGGAGTTGCATTTGAATGGTCAAAAGAGCGGGAATCTGTTTTCCAGGAATTAAAGATGAAATTAACCACAGCTCCAGTTTTGGCTTTACCGTCTGGCACCGAAGGGTTTGTAATTTACAGCGATGCGTCCCATAAAAGATTAGGGTGTGTGCTTATGCAAGGTGGAAGGGTCATTGCCTATGCTTCACGACAGCTTAAACCCCATGAAAAGAATTACCCCACGCATGATCTTGAGCTCGCGGCGGTGGTTTTTGCTTTAAAGATATGGCGGCACTATTTGTATGGTACTACCTGTGAAGTTTACACCGACCACAAAAGCCTTAAGTACCTTTTTACCCAGAAGGAATTGAACATGCGGCAGCGTCGGTGGTTAGAGTTAATTAAAGACTATGATTTACAGATCCATTATCATCCTGGTAAGGCCAACATGGTCGCGGATGCTCTTAGTCGGACAAATATGGGAGATTTGGCCAACCTGTTTACGGTGCAAAGAGAATTGGTAAATGAGTTGGATAAGATGAGAGTGGAATTTAAGATACATGGACAGGAGACAGTCCTAGCAGCAGTAATGGCTCAACCGACCTTACTTGAAGAGATTAAGTTACATCAAATGGAGGATGACATTCTAAAGAAGGTATGTGATGAGTTAGAGACAAAACCACACTCGGGGTTCAGTTTAGTGGATTCGGTACTCAAATTTCAAAATCGGATATGTGTCCCCAATGTGTTGGAACTTAAACGGAAATTGATGGAAGAAGCGCACGCCTCAAGGTTTTCCGTGCATCCGGGAAGTACTAAAATGTACCGGGATCTGAAACAAAATTTTTGGTGGCCAAACATGAAAAAGGAAATTGCAGAATTCGTCTCTAAGTGTTTGCAGTGTTAGCAAGTGAAAGCGGAGCATCAAAGACCAGCAGGATTATTACAACCCCTTCCAATCCCGGAATGGAAGTGGGAACATCTAACCATGGATTTTGTTGTGGGATTACCACGGACACCTCGGGGTATGAATTCTATATGGGTCATTGTTGACCGATTGAATAAGTCCGCCCACTTTCTACCAGTAAAGACTCAATACAATGCAGATAAACTGGCGGTCATTTATGTGAATGAAATTGTAAGGCTGCGTGGTGTACCGGTCTCAATTGTATCGGATAGGGATCCGAAGTTCGTCTCCAGATTCTGGCAAAGTTTACAAGAAGCCATGGGTACAGAATTGAAGTTCAGCACAGCTTTCCATCCTCAAACTGACGGTCAATCCAAGAGAACAATACAAACTCTGGAAGATATGCTCCGGATGTGTGTGCTAGAGTTTCAAGAAAGTTGGGAAACCCATTTACCACTGGTAGAGTTCGCATACAACAATAGTTACCACTCAAGTATTGCAATGGCACCCTATGAAGCTTTGTATGGAAGACCGTGTCGTTCTCCCGTATGTTGGGCTGAAGTTGGAGACAAATCCTTGCTAGGGCCTGAAATTGTTCAGTTAACCACTGAAAAAGTTAAAGTTATTCGGGAAAGATTAAAGACGGCTCAAAGTAGACAAAAAAGTTATGCGGATAACCGACGGAGAGATTTGGAATTTGAGGTGGGCAGTCACGTTTTTATAAAAGTTACTCCGATGAAAGGTCATCTAAGATTTGGGAAAAGGGGTAAGTTAACGCCCCGTTATGTTGGTCCCTTTCAAATTTTGGAAAGAGTAGGTCCGGTAGCTTACCGGGTTGCCCTCCCACCACATATGAGTCAAGTACATAATGTGTTTCATATCTCTATGCTTCGGGGGTATCTTGCGGATCCGTCTCATGTTATTGATCATCACCAAATTGAACTAGATGATAAGTTAACTTATGAGGAGAAACCAATCCGCATTTTGGATCGGCAAGTGAAACAATTACGAAACCGAGAAATCCCAATGATAAAAGTGGAATGGCAAGAACATTACGGAACCGACGCAACTTGGGAAAGAGAAGAGGAAATGCAACATCAGTATCCACATTTATTTCTACCCTAAGGTAAAACAAGTTTGGAGGACCAAACTTATTTAAGGGGGGGAGAGTGTAATAACCCGACCCTCGTACATGTTCTTTGTTATATTTTCGGATCCTATTTTGTGATTTTGAATGCTTGTTGTGCGATTCCATGAGAAATTGAGGCTAAGTAAGTAAACCCATGTTTAAAGATATTCATCTGTTCAATAAGGGAAAATATCTGTTACATCTCTAAGTTAGAAACAGAAATTGGAAGCCTTAGGGTCTTAATTAACTGAAATTGAGTATATATACATGATCAGCATAATTTTTAGGTAATATTAAGTATGTTTATGAAATTTCAATTTAGGATGATTAAACTGAATGATTTTTGTTTTATTCACCTATGATATGCTTATATATAAGTATATATTCATGTTCATATATGTTGGACTTAGAAGAGTTTCTTCAAGTTATTTCCTAAGAGAGAAAGGATGAGAGAGAGAGTGGAGGTTTGAGAGGAATTCAACAAGGAGAAGGTAGAGAATCTAAGGAGCTCAAGCTTAAGGTAAATCTAATCATTTTCTAAAACCTTTCTCTTAGCTTTGAGTAAGATTTTCCCCTTGATTATGGTATTTGAAGATGGTAACTGTAACCTTGTGTATGTGTAGAAGTTAACGGGCAAAATACTCTTACTTGGTTGTTTGATTCACTTTGAATTAACCATGGAGAAGTTGTATTTGAGCTTTTAATTTGAATTCAAGTATGTGGATATATGTTTATGGATATGTAAAGTTAAAATTCTCATGGACATGTGTATGTTGTGAGCCTAAGAATGATGAACTAAATTAGATTGATGTAATTGCCATCATCTTGACATGATTTTGGACCATGTATTATCAAGTAAGAATGTTAATTTGAGCCTTGTAAATATGTGCCAAAAGGTGGGATTTTGTAAGAATTTTCGGACTGTTTTGGGCAGAATCGCCGCACGTGCGGGGGTCATGGCCGCACGTGCGGGAGGTGCTGCCGCACGTGCGGGAGTCATGGCCGCACGTGCGGAAAATGGTGAAAAACAGGGGCTCGGCCACTGTCTAAAAGGCACGTGCGGGGCATCTTGCCGCACGTGCGGGAGAGCTTGCCGCACGTGCGGGGCT